ACACAAGTTAGGCTCTGCGTTGATTCATCAGTCAGTCAGTCAGTCAGGGCATGAAGATGTGTATGAAGTTTTTATGCAAGCTTTATGTAGCGGCACAGCAACAAAAGAGATTGGAAACACGAAAATACGTTTTTAAGACTATTTCCTTTCGATACGATATACTTATTTTACTCATGGTAGGTCACACAGCCAGATTCGAAATGGCGGTACCATTATAAGTGCGTTATTGATTTAGTTACATCTGCGACATTGCTTTGACCTCAAAACCAGTTTATTTTATTGCGATCTATCACTATGACTCCAACCAAATATCTCTGCTGCACCTTGAGTTACTTTTAGTCTTTTTTTATTTTATTTTTATAGACAACTCCTGCATTAGGAATGTATATCCTATCCGCCTGTGTCGCGGGGACTTAACAAACATACATGAAACGGACACAAAGAACACCCAGACTCAGGACAACAATTTGTGAATAACACAAAGTGGTGCCCACAACACTCAGCGTAGTAGAAAACGGCGTGGCGACCGCTTTAATAAGTTACCATTGCTAGAATGTACTCATAAAATATCATGGATATTTATTCAGCGGAGTTCAATTTCGAGTAGATATGGAACAGACATATGGAACGGTAATTAGGCACTACAAGTAAAAGTTGAATCTTAGCTTCAAAACAGTATTTATTATAACACTACTGTATAGTATTGATTATGACCTAATGTGTGTATTGCACGATTCAAGAACTTCCGTTTCTAGATGATTTAACTTTTTTCATAACTGTAGAATCTGTCCTATCTTGTTTGTATGAAACTAATAAAACTTTAATAACCTGTATTCCTGACGATGTAGGTACCTAAAAGGGGATTAAACACTCCGAATTTGATAACTGTAATTTGGTGCCTCTCTCCTTAGAAAGTAAGTGTACCACGCTGGCCAGACGGGTTGGTATAGGGTTTGTGTCGGCTATTACGATACCCACAGGATGAATAGGGTAGTGATACTCCGTATTCTTAACCCTTCAGCACACAGACAGAAGTTTATAGTTCTAGGACAGAAGCTCGTAATTCCCGTGTTCTTAATCCGGCACCACAAGAACAGGGATGCGGCAGGCAGGGCCTCCGACTAAAGACAAGGGAAGGCAATGAAAAGAAGGATTATACATATAGATTGGAGTGTTTCGAAAAAGTCAGTGTAACTTACCTGTCATTAGAACTGACCGTTGCCAGAAAGTCTGATCCCTCTAGTTTGATTTATCTATCATCTATTTTATTCAATACTAGCTAGCAATGGAACGTAATGTTTAAAGAAATAAAAGTAAATAAAGGTGTAATAAATAATAATAATGAAAAATATAAAGTGATAAAAAAAAACAAAATTAGGAATCCTCGCCGGCGTTCGAAGAATACCCTACCAAAGTTTTATCACAACTGATCAATGGTTTCGGAACGCATAAGGGACAAACACTCAATGGCATTTTAACAAGTCAAGTCAAGTCTTTCAGTTGTTGGGTTGTCGACACTTCGTCCAGGTTCTCTAGAACACGGTGAACATGAAAGGCCCGAGGACATCTTCAACGTAAGTTTCAGCGTTCATATTGCCATCTACAAAAATAAGCTTAGTTCGTCTGTTCTTCACAGTAGCTGCCATACCATCACTATGGAGCTACTGTAAGGGTGCACTTCCTGGTCGCATCTCAGCCGTTATAGCATTTCCAGGACGATGAAATCTACACTCTTACTCTTTCTCGATCAAGCCTAAATCCAAACTGGGAACCCATCACAAAAATAAAATTTTATCCTATGGCTCCTGGGTCTATGTCAAGTTTTCTCCACATCATAAGTTTCGATGGACTGCTATTAGTCCCGTCGTGCTCTAGCCGTTCACTGCCCTACATTTCTCAAATTAAGTTTTTTTTTTAATAAAAGAATGTTTGGTTAGTCGATAATGCTGGCGGGGTGTATAGGGTTTTAGTAAGTCGTTTAAAGCAATTCATACATTGCCATTTATTATTGTTAATATAATTACTGTAAACCAGCAAGTCTTTATAAATATACATGATCTCTGTATCTTGCATAAGAATCTTTTGAATCAGATTTGCATTTCGAAAAGATTTTTCTTTTAAAGCTTGTCTTAGTAAACCGCGTTGCTAAAAGAAACAAGTTAATAAAAGAAAAAAATGTAATATTTAATATTAGCTTTTGCCCGTGGCTTCGCTCGCTCGAACTTATTTTACCCCCTTAGGGGGGAAATTTCCAAAAATACTTTCTTCTCTTTTTCTTTTCACAATATACCGAAATTTCAAGTTAGTAGCCTCAGTTTCTTGATTTCACTTTTTTTATTGTTTTAATCGGGTCTAATGTAGAATCTAAAGTCATAGATCAACACACACAATAGCAACCATCTCACCGTGTAGGCAGACACAAGTTAGGCTCTGCGTTGATTCATCAGTCAGTCAGTCAGTCAGGGCATGAAGATGTGTATGAAGTTTTTATGCAAGCTTTATGTACCGGCACAGCAACTAAAGAGATTGGAAACACGAAAATACGTTTTCAAAACGATTTCACACAGGTCACACGGCCAGGTTCGAAATGGCGGTACCATTATAAGTGCGTTATTCATTTAGTTACATCTGCGACATTGCTTTGACCTCGAAACCAGTTTGTTTTATTGCGATCTATCACTATGACTCCAACCAAATATCTCTGCTGCACCTTGAGTTACTTTTAGTCTTCTTTTTAAGACAAGTCCCGCATTAGGAATGTATATCGTGTGTCGCGGGGACTTTACAAACATACATGAAACGTACACAAAAACACATAGACTCAGAACAACAATTTGTTGATCACACAAAGTGGTGTCCCATCATAAGTTTCGATGGGCTCCTAATTAGTCGTCGTGCTTGTAGGCCGTATTCATGCATCCTATTTCTCACGGTTTGGTGGGTTACCTATCTTACCTATCTCCTGCCCGGTGAACATCGTCTGACGTCTTGCAGTTAGTCATGTATCGGTCCTGTCGAGCAGTTGTACTCCTTCCACGTCCTGAGTGTTGCTCCGCAAAAGCCCTTTGTATTAACATGTCGCTTCCAAAGACGACAAATCAGCTTCAGCTCTCTGCATTTCATCAGCAGTCAAATGGCGTCGCACCATGACTTAAAAAATGACTCACCTTTTAATTTTTTTTCAAAAACTCTCAAAATGATAAAAGTGAGATAAATACCAAACACATGAAATCGGAAAAAAATAATTAGCTTTTCATCATCATCATCACAGCCGACAGACCTCTACTACGGGACATAGGCCTCCTCCAAGATTCGCCACAACAACCAGTCCTGTCCTGCCCGCATCCAACGGCTTCCCGCGGCCTTCACCAGGTCGTCGGACCACCTTGTGAGGGGTCTACCATCGCTGCGTTTTCCAGTATGCCACTCGAGAACTTTAGGGCCTTAATTAGCTTTTATTTGAATCAAAACAAAACACAATTGAAAAGTTTATATTTTTAAAATCAGCCAGTATATGTTCCCGAGAACCAAAAAGATTGTATACCAAACTACTATGCTAAGAAAAAAAATATACCCGCAGTTTCTGTAAATGATGTGTTTTGCTTAGACTTTTTTGATGTGTGTATAATGAAATAGGTATACAACCCACTTGATGGACTTTTATCAACGTGCCTTCCAATCTAGGAAACGCTTGACTGAAATGTAAATATTGTACTTAAAAGTACGAGCATCTTTCTTTCTCATCTTTTTAACTTGTCGTCAAAATTCCCCCTTTTTGCTTTTGTCGTCAGTAACGGCGCAACGAAACGAAAGTGATTAATTATGGATAACCAGTTGCCAGTATTCAGAATTAAGTATAATAATATATATAGCTACATATTTACGTAATGATCTCAATTTTGGATGTCAACACTGTCTCTCAAGTTAGGGGTCAGGTTTCTAACGCGAACAAAATGTAAATTTAAATGAGACATTCGTGCCTTTAAATTTTAATCATTTTGAAAATAACATTACATGATATAAAATGTATCTTATTTCCGAGTAAATATCACTTAGTTACATAATTTTATATTTATTTAGGTATATGTATGTACTTATGTATAATGTGAATAGATGTAATAAATGTTGGGTTTATGTATGTGTATATATTTGATCCTATATTTAATTAGCAAAATGTTAAAATTTTGTTTTTACATTTTTAAATCAAGTAACCAAAATGCACCTACTTCTTGTTTTGTCTGCGTCACCTAATGGAGAGAGAATGACTAAGGAATTAAGTCGACCAATGCATTAAATGTGCATGATTTAGGTATCCATACTAATATTATAAATGCGAAAGTGTGTCTGTATATCTAACGGTTAAACGGTTTAAGCGTGAAGAGGTAATGTTACCTCTTCACGCTTAAACCGTTTAACCGATTCAGATGAAGTTTCGTATAGAGATAGTTTAAGTTCCGAGAAAGGACATAGGATAGTTTTTATTCCAGAAATCATCCTTTAAGGGGAGTGAAAAACGGGGTGGACGTTTGTATGGAGAATCTAAAACCGCTGAACCGATTCAGATGAAATTTAGTATATAGATAGTTTGATTCTTGAGAAAGGACATAGGCTACTTTTTACTGCGATAATCAACATACACGCGGGCGGAGCCGCGGGCAACAGCTAGTAATATATAAAAATAAGATAAATATGGGGGATTATGTTTCAACCCCACATAAGTTACGACTTCTATGTACCGTAGGTATGCCACCTAGATAACCGTACAACATCAAATTTGTACTTAATTTTGAAGCTATATTGCTGGGTGACATCACTATCTTCAGCGCTTGATTCTGAGAAAGGACATATTGAAATATTGGAGCCTTAATAGCGAAAGAATACAATACAATTAATGTATCAAAATAGTCAAAAACATGACCACAGTCGCCATTCTTCACTTTATTTAAAGCAATAAAATTTCTACATTGAAATAAAGTACTATGCACCAAAAACTCTGAATAATGAAGCAGGAATTAACGACAACAAATTACGTCACAAAACATGCTTCAGTCGACACGCTAAGAGACATTGTTACCGATTCGCTGCCTAGATGGCGCTGGCAGTTAAAGCAGCCGAAATGGAATTCGGGACCTCTAAAGGGTCATTATAATCGGGCCCATTGTCACGTTCTTATACAGAAGCCGGTTCCAAAAGTAAGTATCAAATAACAATAAGAAAAATTAAGGCGCAATACAGACTGTGTGAACGACAGAGTTTTTAGACTTTTTAGTTGATGTTATTGGATAATTATGGTTTAACTATTCAATTAAAATAAGTATGCAATAAACTATTAATACATCAAGTATTTGCCCTAGATGTCTTAAATATTACATTGTTAATTAAAGTTTCATTACTTATGTAGTAAAACAACAATAAGACAGAATTATAAATATATATTTCGATATTACCCTCACAATAAATAGTTGACATTGCGTCCTAGACTAAGCAATGGTTCCAATATTACCTTCAATAAGCATTTAATCAAGAGTCACTTGGCTTCCTGCATATTTCAATGGACAAAACAAATAGTCAAACAGAACAAGTAATGTTTTATTCTTTCGTACAGAATTCAATGCGTACTTACCAAGATGTCCGTCTTTGATGCTAGCTCCCCAAAAAGTGCCTTAACAGCCATTACATTTCTCAAGAAAACCGAAGTGTTGCCAGTTAAACGAATCAAATCGATTTCTAAAGACAAATACTAATAATCGTTTGATATAATTTATAAAACCTAACATTCGTCCATCCTGACCTCGTGCATGTCCTCATGCACGCAAGCCATTGGAATCCTGAACCTAACATTCGGCTTGTTAAGTCACTATAGCATCAAATACAAATCATCTTGTACAAATTTAAAACAGGGTAACAAAACAGTTTCATTGCCAGACCACATTCTACTCTCGACAACATCATTCCCAATAAATACATATAGGTAAAGTAAAACCTTGTGAAGATTCCTTCTCACAAGAGTCACATTTTATAAACTACATTTCTAAAATCAATATTTGAATACTTTAAATAATCTTGTGGTTTCATCTCAACAGTAACATCTCATTTACAACCTTCGGCTATGTTGCTCGTGAGCAATTCCTGTCTCACCAACAGCAACACAGTCGTTAAGCAATTATGGTCTATGAGCCCTTCATTTCTACAGACCATAATTACTAAGGAATATCTACTTATAACCAATCTTGTGGTTCCACCTCACAAGAGTAACATCTCATTTCAACCTTCGGCTATGTTGCTCGTGAGCAATTCCTGTCTCACCAACAGCAACATAGTCGTTAAGCAATTATGGTCTATGAGCCCTTCATTTCTACAGACCATAATTACTAAGGAATATCTACTTATAACCAATCTTGTGGTTCCACCTCACAAGAGTAACATCTCATTTCAACCTTCGGCTATGTTGCTCGTGAGCAATTCCTGTCTCACCAACAGCAACACAGTCGTTAAGCAATTATGGTCTATGAGCCCTTCATTTCTACAGACCATAATTACCAAGGAATATCTACTTATAACCAATCTTGTGGTCCCACCTCACAAGAGTAACATCTCATTTACAACCTTCGGCTATGTTGCTCGTGAGCAATTCCTGTCTCACCAACAGCAACACAGTCGTTAAGCAGTCATGGTCTATCAGCCCTTCATTTCTACAGACCATGGCGACTAAGGTATATCTTATTTATAAACAATCTTATGGTTCTGTCTCACAAGAGTACAATAAGTAATCATTTTGCATTGTGCTTATTTGCCATATAATTAGAAATAAAATAATTACATTTTGTATAGAGATATTCACGCACAGATTTTATAATCATATTTCTTGTTTCAGATGAATAGCTATTACAATTGTATAATAATGTATGTAATTATAATACCCCGGTTCATTTGTGTATATATTCCAAAACACTACAACCGCATAGTCCTAACGACCTTGTTGGAAATACATAAGTTTTACACAGCTGTTTATTCTACACAAACATACATATGTATCAGTATCGATTAATACACAAATTGCAAGAATAACACAAAATCAATTATGACGGCACGTCATTTGATAGCTTACACTCATTTAGCTCACACATACAGTTAAAATATGAGGTATTATATTCGTATTGCCAAACTAAATAATTTACTTCTACATGACCTTGTATGAATTAATAATGTACATAAATGACTCCTAACATATATCGAATCACAATAACTGATATAAGCATACGAATATAATGTTTACATCGTTTCATCATCATTGTCATTGCTATCGGTATCATCACTGTCAACGCCCTCGTTTACCTTCAAGGCAGCAACATGAACCCAAGGCAACATTCGATCGGAAGCTACGGTGGTTTTGCGATTGTTTTTAGTGCTACTTAGTCCGGGTATAGCGGCAATCCTATAACGGTCATTCCCTACGACGGCAACCACTTTTCCGTCGTTATTAAACGAGGTTCTCGTGATTTTAACTAAGTCTCCTTCATTATAGACACGCGCAGGCCGTCGATTTCTATCATAATATAATTTTTGCTTTTGTTGTTCTTCGTCGATTTTATCTTTCACAGATGTCCGAATATCAACTAAATCAATATTTTCTCGAGCTTCGCGTACTACGTCATTCAATTTAGGATTAATCTCAGTTCATTTTTGGTCCAAACATTACTTCTGTCGGCGTTCCGATTACTTTTCCCTTTAAAATAATGTTCCCGTCAGTAACAACATTAGCTCGGGTTTTAATAGCAGCTGGTCCATATACACTCACATCTGCATAGATTGTGATAGTAACAGTCAGATCATCTATAATGTCAAATTGCGGTAATGGTACAACATCAGACGTACTAAAGAATTTCAATTCCTTAAAATTTTTAAACACTAGTATATGAGCTTGCTCTGTAAACGACTGGCCCATTAATAAAGGCGTTTCCAGAAATCTATCTTCTACAACATGACAAACGACATCTGCACTAACATCGTCAACACACAGATCAACCCTAACTCCACCAATAGATCTAATAACATTGTTTCCAAAACCCTTAAGGGGTCTAGGAGGATAACTACAAGCAAGTCCGAGAGAAGATGCCAAAGTCTGTTGCATAAGCGTGACCTCACTACCGCTCTATAAATGTCTAGAAGACATTGAGATCTATAAATGTCTTAACTGGTATCCCATTTACTTTCACTTCTCTGATAAATTTCGAATTCGATCCCGACGTCATTATGCTCATCGTGTTGGAGACATTACTATGTTTGTCATTTGTCTCGATTCTAGAGAAGCAAGTTTCCACTTTGTGACCATACCTATTACATCTTGTACATCGAATTAAAGGCTTAAGGCACTTAGAATATGGATGTCCCTTTTCCTTACAATTAAAACAATACATTTCACCGTGCTGATTATTAAAAGTTCTTACTGGTCTGCTAGCTTTATTGTAAGTAGTTCTCGTGTCTACAAGGGACCTATTTTGAAATTATTATCTGAATGTTGCGAAACGTCCCTATTACTCATGAGGAAATTAAGAAGTTGATCTGGCCGCGAACAGCGCAATGCATTAGCGCTGGACCTTATAGTTTTGTCAGTTAGTCCGTGAATAATACAATCCACCGCACGCTTGCCATCGATGTCACATTGGTTCAATAGTGCTAGTTTTTCGTAATAATACATTTCCAGAGGTTCATTGAGTCTAGTCTTCCGTCTAAGCATGGCCTCCAAAGATTGGCCATAATTTTGTTCGAAGGGGAAAGCAATCAACAATTTTTGTTGCCATTCGGCCCAGCTAAACAATATCGAATTTAAACTTTCGTACCAAAGTTTAGCCAATCCTTGGAGTTTTGCATAGCAAAATGTATAACTGTCTTTTCATCCCAGCCGTAAACAGTGGCGCATTCGTTAACCTTCTTTATCCATACATCAATCCTTTGAACCTTTGAAGAAGGATCAAATTCAGGAAGAATATTTTTCTGGTTTATATGACTATTAGAATGTGATAAAGTTGTAACTGGTGACGGCTGAGGTTTAGGTTTTAGAGAATTCAAGGAGTTAACAATATTCGCAACATCCTTTGATGTAAATAGCGGACTAACCGACCTGATATCCCGTCTGGCTGCCGTTGCACGTAGCTCGTCCTGCTGCACACGTTGCGAGCGTCGCATCTCTGGGCGACGTTCTTGCTCCATACTCCTGTCGCGGACGTTGTCCATGTTGTCATTCATATTACGCTGTCGCTGCAGCCCACCCTCGAGTTCATGAATTCGTTGGCGCTGTCTCTTCACTTCCTCGTCGAGGGCCTGATCTTGCGTTCGCCCTCTTTCGGAACTACGCAGACTGCTCCTACTGCGGTAACTATGACTTTCCCGACGAGCGCGACTGCGACTGCGTCTTCCAGCACTGCGACAGGATACTGCCTGTCTTTCCGGGGTTTCTAACCGCCTTTGCGCGGCCTTATCATCACGTGGCATTATCTGAAACTCGAAAACATATTTAATGTATCCTTTCCTTAACGTTACATTTTAAAGTAAACCGGTTGAAATCATATTTCAAACTTTTGAAATAATGTAATTTCGTCACCCGTATGTACATGGCACTGTAGACTCAACGGTTAGATTCGAAAACTAACTTTGACATCGTTACACATATTTTACCCTTTACCCCAAAATACGCAACAGAATCAAGTCAAGTGTTGACAAGCTTGTACCTCACTATCCACTGCTTTGAACTACTCCCTTTACGTTTCATCACACGAGTATGTATAGCATTTTCACGCACAAAAGAAAGACTAACCCTAATAATGTTTGTTGTCTTCGCTTATTACTTTTGCTTTTTTTTTTTATCCAGAAATAGTAAATTTCTATTCACTAAGTTTTAACACTATTGATAGAGAAGTCCGCGTTACTCCTAAATACAGGTAATTTCATGGCCTAACTAAAACAACCTTCACCTTTCAGTTCATTCAACATGAGAGAGTCTAAACTAGTATGATTATGAATTACTAAACGACTTACAGAAAGAAACTAAAACAACAGCACTTCACCCACCTGATTGGAGATCTACCCACACTTAACCTTCATTCCTTGTTATTTCTAAATGTTTTAGCACTATTTTAGTACTCTGGTGGACTCATCCCACTTCTGAATTGTAGTAAAACAACAATAAGACAGAATTATAAATATATATTTCGATATTACCCTCACAATAAATAGTTGACATTGCGTCCTAGACTAAGCAATGGTTCCAATATTACCTTCAATAAGCATTTAATCAAGAGTCACTTGGCTTCCTGCATATTTCAATGGACAAAACAAATAGTCAAACAGAACAAGTAATGTTTTATTCTTTCGTACAGAATTCAATGCGTACTTACCAAGATGTCCGTCTTTGATGCTAGCTCCCCAAAAAGTGCCTTAACAGCCATTACATTTCTCAAGAAAACCGAAGTGTTGCCAGTTAAACGAATCAAATCGATTTCTAAAGACAAATACTAATAATCGTTTGATATAATTTATAAAACCTAACACTTATATATTTGTGTAACAATTTACTGACTATACTATGTTAGGTGGGGGTACTTTATAATATGTTATGTGGAGATGTGTGGTGACTGGTATGTCCAATCCGTGTGGTGACGCGTTAAGAATACGAAGTGCCACCACCTCGATTTATCCCGTGGGTGTCCTAAAAGTCGAAAGAGTTAGCAAACTACACAGGACAACAGCACTGCAAAAAGAAGAGCAACTTGACACAAATCCTATACCAACCCGTCTGGCCAGCGCGGCACAGCCTCCTTTCTAAGGAGAGGCCTGTGTCCAGCAGTGGACTATTAAAGGCTGTTGATGATGATGTTATATGGATAATGTTTATGTTCCCTGATACTGTTTACAATATACAAGTACGTTTATCAGGAGTCTGGTTACCATTGTACAGGCTTTGCCTAGTTTGGGATCAGACGGCCGTGTGTGAGATCTGTGAGATATTTATTATTTAGATTTATTATTATTCTCTTTATTACATTTTAAAAAACATAATGATTACATTATTATTATTAATCTTTTTTTTCAGCTATGATTTAAGTCTTACTTCATCAAATCGATAGATTTCTGAACATTTAAAACAAAGTGTTACAATAATTTATTTCTAAAACTGGATGTTTACCCGCCAATGCCGCCGACCGCAAATAGTGTAGGTTATGTCTGCGAAACATTTATTCAAATTTGGATTTATATTTATATAATATAATACTAGTAATCGCAATCTAGTCTCGAGAAAGATGTCGAGCCCGCCTTTTTCTGCAGTTGAGTGGGTACAACACTAACAGAAGTGTTACAAGACTCTAATATTCGAAAATGATGATAGTGTTTATGATTGTTTTGATATGAAAGTAAGCAAACACCATTAAAATATAATTATGATGAATTAATACTTAATATCAAAATAAGTTTATACAACCAAGTCATTTTATTAAAAGTCTAATTAACTTATCTACTTTATGTTATTAAATTCAGGTCGAATATGTTCTGTTCTCAGGAAATGTAAGTCAGATTTAATTTGCAATATACTTGTGTTTTTACAAATGTGAGTATATGCAGAAGAAAATGTGATCATAAAGGTCGTCATTCAGTAACTCGGTACCGCCTCGCCTCGTATGCTTGAGATTTATTTACATGGAGTCCCTATATATTCATTCACTGATTAACTCCCTAACCGCACCGGATCTCCCAACATGCAGGCAATCCGTAATGTCAATACGAGGACGGAAAGTGACAACTCGGTGACCGCCCGTTTAGCAAGCCTGGACCGCCGACTGCCAAAGTACTGGTTCCGAGTGATCTATGAGCAGTTCACTCGTGACCGGTCTGGCTTACATTTTGTGGACTCAATAAGGTTCACTTTCCATGTTTTATATCTTGGAGTGTTCTTTATCAAGTGCGGCAGGGACTTTAAGGGCGAATTCCATATCCTGCTAACCGTGGAACTTATGAGGATCGTTTACTAACAACCAGTTAATTCCATAACGGCAGTACATCAAGTTGCTGGCTTGGCAAAATTATATCAGGAGCACACTTCGTTATTAAGTGAAGGTTAAGCTACAATGCAGTGCTGGTAAGGTGCCAAATTGTGAACTGGGTGATCACACTTTGTTCCACTGTGTTAAATAAAAAATACACTGATGTTTATAACTAAAGTCAGTAAAATTAGTAACAATAGTTCCAAATAAAATATAGACTTATCATTATTTTATTTTATGTATATGATAAATTTACATAATTTTCTTTGTATGATTATCAAAATTAAGGTCAAGGCACTCTTAAACACACACAATAAAAACAGACTCGGCAACACAAGCGTACCACAACTCAAACAGTTGCAACAAGTCGAAAAGTATTCGACATTCGTCTTCCAAATGATGTGATTTAGTACCGAATCGTTTATCGGGTCGGCACTTGCCAAGTGAAAGCGTGACGTCATCGTTCGTATTCTATAAACGCACATGAAATCGGACATTGCGCATGTAGGGAGGCGCCGGACGGTGTGTTGGAATGTAATATGTCTGCATATCTTGTTTATGGAAGTTTAAGAGGGCTTCTCGGTCCTCATTTTTTGGTTCTTTATTAGAATTGGTTAGAAATAACTTTTATCGAGTACCTATAAATGTGGTAGCAAGTGGTTCCGCATAAAAAGGGCGCTTAAGGTTCTCGTTGAAACTACACTACACACTCACGGCCCCGCCTCAATTTGCACCGACCGCTCTAAACTTTCGCATTGAAATGATTTTCGGAATTAATGCGATCACGTAATATAATAATATTATACATAATTACATAGCTAGCAGTATGTTTGCTCTGTACTAATATTGAGCTTACAGACACAAGTAATAGTTTTGCCCGTTGTTAAACTGCCCGCTCGCAGTAAAGTCAGGCGATTCGTTTGAATCGTATGGTGAGCAAAGCGTCAATCATCAACTGGCTAGACGGTAAATTCCCGCTCTTTGCAATTACATGTTGTTATTTCAAAATGTACTTAGGCACACATCTTTAAGCCTGTGTTTGAATGTTAATTCAATAACCATGCAAGAGCGGTGTCGCGTTAGTGAGCTACGACCTTTATCGCAAAAATTTTATATAGTCAAGATTTTTATTGCATTATCTATACAAATAAATAAAATTGGAGTGTCTGTTTGTAATATTAAAATATCCGCTTTTTACTAAATGCATATGTATGTTTACACGGTACATATACCAAAATAACATTTTTTACAATTTTTGTCTGTCTGTCTGTCTGTTTGTTCCGGGTAATCTCTGGAACGGCTGGACCGATTTCGACGGGACTTTCACTGGCAGATAGCTGATGACATAAGGAGTAACTTAGGCTACTTTTTTTAGACTAGCTTCGCCCCGCGGCGTTGCCCACGGTTATAACAACAAACGCGGGTAACACCACGGGTCTCAGCTAGTTTTGATTAAACCACAACATCGTTTGTAGTTATGTTACTAGTTACAATTAGTAAATAATATTACAAATATATGCATAGCTGATGTTATACACTGCAATAATGTTCTGAACTAGTTTGTGTGAGTGTAATTGGTTCGTAGTGCTTTTTCTTCATGTCTTCTTATATTCTGCTTTTCTAAACATGTTAGTAATGCTTTGCGGTGGCATATCACCCGTTTTGAATGTTTCTTGAACTGGACCCCTATGTAGCTATTTTTACATAATTTCTAATTCAATAGCACATATTGTTTGAAAAATCTAGTTTTCTGTACTTCTTTAGATATGAACATACTCGTAGTACGCGTAAACGAAGCGCCATGTTTCTTTAAAAAGGGGTACAAAGAATTTTCTGCACATATTAATAAATGTATATCATGATCATGAACAGCTACTGGTTCACTGCACTGGTTTTGGCTTGGCCATCACACTGGCCAAACGGGTTGTCTCAAGATTTCCTTCTCTTTGCACTGCTGTTGTCTGGCGTAGTTTGCTCCCTTAGTCGCCTCTTACGCCCTCAGGATGCATAGGGATGGTGACACTCCGTATTCTTAATCCGTCACCATACGGATACTTAATATAGAGTTTTACATATTTCTAATAGCTCATAAGTAGTTTGACAAAACCATATAAGCTTGATTTCTTTATTGCCATTATTTTTGCACCTACATTGGTACACAGGAAAAGAGGTCGAAGCTATTCAATAAACTAAAAATTTCAAGTGCTAGATGCGCGATAAAATAGTTAGATTACATACTGTGTCATACAGGTTTGTCATACAGTTGGAGCGTTCATGGATGGAGGTGGTCATCGTCCACCATAAAAAATCTCCTTATGTAATAAAAATCAAATAAAAATGGGCAGAGTGAAAGTAATGATAATATCATGAATGATGATAGGGCGAAAACAGACATACAGACATAGTAGGTATATAACTATTTGGTAAACTTTATTAACCTCATTCACGTGTAAAGTT